TTAAAATTTTTGTAACTTTGAGAATATTTTAGGTACGTTTTAAAGTACATTTAAAAATTTTTGGAATTCATTTCGCAGAGAGGTCTTGGCGATATCGCGTTTCTTTTGGAAGTACTGATTTTTGTATGAAATGATTTTAAAACTTTACCAAATGTACTTTAAACCATACTTCACATATTTTCAAAGTCACACGAAATAAAGTAAATTTTTCTCCATAAAAAAAAAATAACTGAGCACTTACTAATTAGCCTCCTAATGTGGTTTTTTCTCTGAAGTAATACGAAATCAAGGGACAATTTTTTAAGGAATGAATTTTAAACGATTCGCGTACAATCTTACCGGTCGTCTTTTCCGTCGAAGGATCGATCTTACCCTGTACTCGTCGATTTTCGGTCTCTTCTCATTTCTAATCACCGATCGAAAGCTTCGCAATACGCTGCATGTTCCAAGCAGATGGAAGGTTTCCATTAGTTTATGGAAAACATGTTTAAAACATGAAGTAATCCTTTATCGCGCAATGTACCAGATCAGGAACCTCTTAAAAACAATTTTTATATTTAATTGGACTCAAGTTAAAATAATGAATCACTATTTTTTTCATTCACTCGGCGTAAACGTTATTCATAATAACGTATCGAGTCTTGAATATATATATATCATCTTCATATCTATAATTATGATAATTAACGTTACAATTTTTATGTACTAGATTAAATATATAAAAGAGTATCGTTAATACTTTCCTTTCTCAGGAGAAACCATGTTGAGATGCAACAACTTTTTATGATAAATTTTCAAGACTTTCGACGAAAATTATACGATGAAATGAAATCGAGTATAATCAATCCATTATCGGAAATTCTAATTTTTATTTAACGAGTAATGGACAGTCATTTATCTTTCGTAATTTTATCAAAGAAATTAAGAACTAGTTAAGAGTGTTGTCCATTGACGAAGGTACTATTTATATAGTAATAGACATTCTTATTTATCTTTTGCTTGAATTTCTCAATGGGTACGAGTAAGTATATCGTTCCCAATAAAAACGTAGAATATAAAGTAGGTAACTGGGATCGTGTAACCTAGAACTTTGATGTTGAAAATAGCAGTATGCTAAAATTACTACCTGTATACTGATTAAATACATATATTAAAGGTGTATCAGTTGATGTTCTTAATAATAGATAGTTTTGAATGACATTTATAACAAGTTGTAGCAATTTTAATTGCATAGACTACAACAAGGCTGGAACAACTGTATATATTGTACGTAAAGTTGCCCGTAACACCGTTATTCTTTCTAGACATCATCCTCTATATATATACTGAACCATTAGACAAGTAGTAATTCCAAGTTTGACGTACTATTATTATCAACATCGAAGCTCTAGCTTATACATATAACCACAGTCACTAAGGTCATTAAACGATGATGTTCTTTACCTTTATAAATGTTGATTTCTTTTATATTTTTTTCCAAAATTCTAAACTATACATATTCATATATATATATTTATATTATTACACAAATCATTGATCAGAGTTTCTAGGATCTTCGAAACAATTATATAAATGTTCTCAATTTTGATAAATACAGATCTCTTTCACATTTTTTTTCTACGCATCTCTTTCCAAAATTCTAAGTTATACGCGCGATCAGAGTTTTTAGAATAAATTTTTTGTCAAAGCTGCGTCACAACAACCGTATCGAAAATCTCTACGCGAGTGTACAATCGAATATACTTTGTGATTTTCCCAGTGCATTACTATGAAGCCGTTGAAATTGGGAATCATCGGTGGTTCTGTATTCGTTTTTGGAGTTCTATTCTGTGCAGTGTTCTTTCCTCTGTTTATGAGGTCGCAAATCAAGAAAGTAAGTAAAAAAATCTGTCAACGTTCCAAACCTTGCAATCTAGTCCTTCTCGATCTCTCTAATATATATTTGTATCGTAAATATTTCTCGTAAATATTTTTATGCAATTCCTATGTAATTGTTACAGTCCAACCTAATTCAAGCAGACAATTTTTAGTGGCATCGATATAAAAATTAACGATACATTAATTTCTATGTCGACTTAAGATTACCTCCACTCCGTTAGCATTACTTTCAATTTTTTACGACAGTCCGTAACTTGTCATTATTGCGGTAGCAGAGTGGCACTCTTCTTTTTTTTCCATTGTCCCTGTTTAACGTTCGTCTCCATTGTGTCTGAAGTTACTTTTAACTTTCCATGATTGTTTTCTATTGCATATCATTATGTCAGCACTAGAATTACGCACGTGCAGCTTCCTACGCGACTTATTCCTCGTGTCACATAGATTTTCTTCGCGACACACAATCAAAGTCGGGAAAATAAATGACGAAAATAAAGCTATAATACAATTACAAAACGTCAATTTTTTAGACTACACGTTACCTCGTTATTTCGATAAATATCGACGAGTTACAAAAGAAGAATCAACAGAATAGAAAAACACCGATGACTGGACGACGAACGAACACAAGAATGATACGACATTATTCTTGCGAACAGTCATTAACAATCTGCCATTTTATCGACCTTGTAAGCCATTACTCTCGATGACAGAGCCAAATATATTTATCCAAAATGTTTTTGATCTCCATGTTTTGCCTGCCAACTTCTACAAAACTTATCCATAATTATTTAAAATGCCTTTTTTCAAATTAGGGAGCATGAAAATTATATAAAACCTATTTGGTAAATATATTTTTCTAAAATGTTTTCGATCTGTGTATTTTTGATGCCTGATTCAAAATAAATAAAACAAAATCATTTTTCATTGATTCAAACCACTTCCGTTTGACGTAACGTGGAATATTGAATGTAACTTTGAAATAATTGTATGGATAATAGATGCATAAATAAACCCACCAAATTTCCAAATTTTCCGTCGAGTACTTAGGCTGCAAAAAGATATGGTGAAACCGATAAAAAAGAAGAGTATCGTTTTAACAAGAACCAGAATACCAGATTGAATGGTTAAACGTTATTAAAAATTTGTGATTCTAGCAAGTAGCTCTGAAACCGGGCTCCGAGATACGGGAAATGTGGTCGAACTTCCCTTTTCCTGTTGACTTCAGAATTTATCTCTTCAACGTGACGAATCCCGACGAAATAACAGCAGGGGCGAAACCAATACTCAAGGAAGTGGGGCCATATTTCTACGAGTAAGTATTTTCTATTTCTAAGTATTTTCTATATTAAAAGATACTATCTAGCCAATAACTTTGCGAAACGAATAAAGAAATAGGTGGGCAACATTCTTATTTAAATAAAAGCTTTAAACGGTGCTTCAAAAATAAATTAGAGTTTTATTTATGAAACGAAATACTTCACATTAAATAAATCTCTCGTACAAATTATTACATGTTCTTATCTTCTATATTTTATATATTCACGCATTTGTCCATATCACGTGTATACTCACATTCGTCATAAATTCATAAAATGTGTAGTCCACTAAGAGTTTCATTCGCAAAGCAAAATTCTTGATATCGGTTAATCTCACGTAGAAATCGCCGCAAGACACTTCAATAAAATCGCGTCCATCTTGGATAAACAATTCTTCCAACTTTCTCCAAAATTCTTCTAAAATTCTTCCAACTTTCTTACAATTCGTCGACATTTTTCTTTTCCAGCGAATACAAGCACAAGGTGAACCTTGTCGATCGCGAGGAAGACGACACCGTTGAGTACAATGTAAAAATCACCTGGGTCTTCAACCCTTCGCGAAGTAACGGTCTGACGGGCGAAGAGATACTGGTGATGCCCCATATTCTTATTCTCACCATCGTGAAACTTACCCTGATGCAGCAACCCAGCGCGATGGGACTGATCAGTGAGTGCATCGGGCTTTCTTTAAGTTTCTTTCTATCGCGAACGCGCGATTAAATATTCTTTACGTGTCGATCGTCAGTGAAGGTCTACGCTGTCTTTACCTGGAAGCACTTATGGATTGGTAAGGTGGTACGTGAGAGACGCGACACTTGAAGCTATCAACAAGCCGTTTAAATCCTCGCCTTGGGCGAAAGAATCAATTGCTGTCTATAATGTAACTTACTGTTTGACTTGTCGTATGTAGGATGCCCTACTTAATCAGGGCATAAATATTACGATTGCTGAAACTTTTCTGGTGGTATCAGACTTTCAAGATTTCTCATCGATGTTCGTCTGAACAAGATTAAATGTAAAATTATAAAGGCAACGAAAGAATCTTTTTGTAGTAGTTTGCATGTATAAGATTGGACCTATATACATATGTTGTATTAATATGCATGTGTATTTGTACTATTCAAAAATTCTTTCGTTGCTTTTATAATATTTAATTAATATACAGTCAGTGTAATAAGTATTCGTACAAGAAACATTTATTTTAAATTGGTTGATGTACAAATACTTACCCGGACTGTATACATATCTCTCTTATTTAATATTGTTTATACAAATTCCATAAACAAAAATTCCTTTCCAGATAATTAAAAAATGTACTATATTAAAATTCTTCTTCCAATAACAACTTGGAAATACTATTAAATAAGTTTGTACTCGACACATTTAAAATAATATTAAAAATATATTTTGAGTATATTATAAGTAACGTCTCTGTCAAATTTCAAATCGTTCCATTAATTTTACCCCTCAAATTCTTGACGTTTCTGTTCCAGATAAAGCAATGGACAGCATTTTCAAGAAGCCCAATTCAGTGTTCGTGAGGGCCAAAGCGAAGGACATACTCTTTGAAGGTTTGCCCATCGATTGCACGGTGAAGGATTTCGCCGGATCCGCGGTTTGCACCCAACTGAAGCAGCAGGAAGATCAGTTCAGAACAGACGGCAAGGGAAATTATTATTTCTCCATGTTTGGCATGGTACGTACACCTTCTTTAAATTCCAAATTCCACTGTACTCAATTATCTACATATAAGATTGCTAGGAAAATTCGTTTGGCGATCGTTACTTTGTTTACTGGAAACACATAACGGAAAATTGAAGTTTGAAAGCTATCGGATGTTCCTTATAATATAGATAGCCAGGCTGATTACTGATAGCGAAGGAAATATGGATTCTAGATCGCGAATGAAGACAAAAATCTTGATTCAGGAACTCTTCGTATATGTAGAACAATTTAAAAAATGAAACCGATCCAACGTAGAGTCGAGAGTCTCCATTTTTCGCGTAATCTATGAATCATGATAGACGCGATTAGTACGTCTAGCATTTTCGCGAAGAAATATACTCGTATGCAAAATTTGACACAAATCTATGGGGGACAACCCTCGAGGGCAACCTCGAGCCTTCTCTTGTTAGCCGCAGGAGTCAGATAAGTGGCCCTAGCGTCTCGTCCCGTATTAACTTCCGTCTTTCCTCTCAAAAGCCTACTGCACCCGAAAAACATTGTTAGGAATGAACCGCGAAAGTCGAAGAGTTGGAAACTAGGTGGACTCGTCTTAACAATGAACAAATTAATCTAACAACGCGTTCTGCTCAGAGAAACGGCAGCGTACTCCCTGAACGGATACGCGTGTTGCGGGGAGTGAAGAATTACAAAGACGTAGGTCGTGTGACGGAGCTCGACGGAGAAAAGAAATTGTCCCTCTGGCCGGAGGATCACTGCAACGAGTTTAACGGAACGGATTCCACGATTTTTCCACCGTTGATGACCGAAAAGGACGATATTGTCTCATTTTCTCCGGAGATTTGCAGAAGCATGGGTGCGCAGTTCAGCCACAAGGTCACCGTGAAAGGTACGGATTACTCTGCGAAACTCGAAAACTGATGTCTTTTTAACCGACTTCGAAAAAGGAGGAGGTTACTCAATTCGACATGTATATATATATATATATTTTTTTTTTTAAAGTATGTTCACCGATTACGCCGAGATTTTTTTCGATACGTCATTTTTTACCCGCTTTTTTTTGCAAAGAACCGTAATTTTGATTATGTATGGCTTGATCAATCGGAGTGAACTCTTTCGCATCATTGTAGAATATTCCTTCAGTAGGTCTTGTAAACAGAACATTCTGTGATTTGTCAGTTTTTACCCGTTTTTTTGTGTGCAAAAAAACAGAAAAATCTTGTCTTGCTTCTTACTCCGAGACGGATGGACCAATCGGATCGAAACTTCTTGCATCTAGAAGAGCATTTGCCATTTGGTCCAATAACAAAACGTTTGTCTTTGTTCTATTTTTTACCACTTTACATCACTTTTTATCGCAAAACCCTTTACATTTTGCTGCCGGAGAGGTTTTCGCAATAATCACATTTGCAAAAATGTACGACTTTGTTTATTGTTTATAACTATTGTTATCGCAAAGTTCCTATTATATGATGTAATTTGGCGAGGAATTTTATCGCTGTGGATTGAGTTGGTCATTTTGAAAGTGGCACAAGACACACTTTCGACGATGAAAATTCCTGAACTCTGATTCTCGAATTATTCAAGAAAGCAGCTGTTACGTTGTTGCAGGCTTCAAGGCGTTACGTTACACGGCTGATTTAGGAGACGGTAGCACAAGACCCAACGAGAAGTGTTATTGTCCATCGCCAGAGAACTGTTTAACAAAAAATTTGTACGACATGTACAAGTGCCTAAAGGTGCCCTTCGTTGGTTCTTTGCCTCACTTTTATGGATCGGAACAGAAGTATCGGGATATGGTCGATGGAATGCATCCTGACGAGGCTGGTTTTAAATTTCATTTATCTAGGGAGAGGCGTTATAAATTTCTACCTTAAACTACTTTCTAGAATTATTAAAAAATGATTGAAAGAAGGAACTAGGTATATACAGTATGTCCTCTATCTAAATTACCTGGTAGTTTCAGCGTCAGATACAAAAATTTCGAATAAGAAATAAAAACAACTTAAACAATTTTCGATTCTACGCCCCCAAAAAATACGACAATTAGAAATTAAAATTGCATCGTCGCTCTTCCAATAGGAGAAACACGGTATCGCTTTGGACTTTGAGCCACTGACAGCCACCCCATTGAGCGCATACAGGAGACTGCAGTTCAACATGTTCTTGGGTCCAGTTGCGAAGTTCAGGATAATGAAGAATTTTCCAGAGTGTTTGTACCCTATTTTCTGGCTCGAGGAAGGAATCGTGATACCAGACGAATTCGTTTCGAAGTTGAGCACAGTGTTCCTGGTGAAGAACATTGTCGGGTAAATATCTTCTACGGGTTCTCTCTTCTTTTGGGGAAGCCTGGGAACTTAGCTCCAGGGCAAAACTTTCTATCCTCGGGCGAGTTGATTTTATCTTTCACCTGAAAGAAATGTCCAAAAAATGCTTATTTCTTACTAGAAAAATTGACTAAACCTCCAAGCATTGCAGAATCTCCCTATGATAACTATGTATAATAATAACACGACTCCTAAATGTTCGTCAAACAGAATCGTAAAGTGGATTACGATAGTCCTGGGTGCCGGAGTAAGCGTGGGAGCTGGCGCGTTGTACTTTAAGAATAGAGAAAAGAACAAGCTGGAGATCACGAAAGTGGCACCGCAGTTGCAAGACAATAAAAACGGCGAAGAGAAGAAGTGGCCCTCGAAGATGATCATCAGCACCGTGCAGAGTGCGTCGGTGCCGCCTAGTCTCGATAAGGATTAGATACCGTGAATTTTATTTTCGAATTAATTATGGTTCACCACTCTGAAAGCCTGAAAGGTTACAACTGGGGGAATTTTAATTTTATGCATTTACTGGAAATTAATTGCCACTTGTAATTATAGTTGAAATGTGTTATATAACATCTTCTTTCAATTTAGTGTTTTCTGTTTATTCATTTTTGAAAAATTAAAATTAAATTGTACATTTATGTATTAATGTACGCCATAAATGCATAAAATTCGCAGTTCATGGATTGTTGTACTCGTTAGGAGTGTATTGATCCGAGGAGATGAGCAGGACTCCGAGAATTTACCCCCAGAAGCTATTTTCGAAGAATTGAGCAGTACCGGAAATGTTTTAGGTGAACAGTGTTGTGACTTATCTTTGCATTCTCCTGTTTCGATGTTAAATTTACATGGTCATGGTTCCTATATTTATCATTATTTCCACTTTGATTGACGTGCTACCAGTCCGTTGTTAATAAAAATGTGAACGCAATCCGTCCATTTTTATAGATATCGAAATGAAATATATTCAGACGGTAGTTACAGCGACTAAAGAACATAATTGGCAACGGAAAATCATTAACGTACAATAACTAACGTTATTATATGTAAACTTAATTTTAATTGAAAATTGCTTTCAATCCACTATGTACGATTCACGATAAAGAAAGTAGATTCATTTTAATAATTTAAACTTAATTGCAACGATTAGTTTCCTTCTAGTATTTTATGTATATTTTATATATATCTTATTCTGTTCTATTATGTTGTTTAAGAGACGCAACAATGTTCTTGCTAAGAAACACATGGTTAAATCTGACCATCTATTGAAACTATATTTTAAGAAGTAACACGTACAGAATTATGTATATATATTATATTTGTTTGTATTGTACATATGTTTTGTTTGTATTACTTAAAATTCGCAGTTTAATTATAATACTATAGTTTACAATGTGAGTAGATTATGTAAAAAAGTGTAATTAATTAATGAACAATATTTTCTAACGAACCTACAAATTCGTTGTTAAATTAGATTACTAGTTCACTTACATTTTTAACTATTACATTAGATAATGTTAATTATACTTATAAAAATATAAAGCAGCTTTATATTTGAGGAAGGACGGTATACAGGATAAAAGGGTAGTTGTTTTGGGTATAAAAGTGCAAATGTATAAAAAGAACTCAAGGATGCTAAGAGAACAAAAGTCTAAATAATAATGTTATAATTATATTTACTAAAAACGCAAGTGAACAAAAAGAACTTGTGGAAGAGAATTTATGGAACAATAATTCAGAGGATGAGGTAAACCAGAAATAAGAAAATCTCCCAGAACAATCTCAACAGGAGTCTAAAAAAATAAGAAAGGATATGCACTTGGCGTAATTACTTTATTTATTAATTTAAATTGGTCAGCGCTCCTATCGGGAAAACGCCCAAGTTTGTCCTCGAATAGTTCCTACTTTCTTTCTGCTAGATGGCGCCTCTAATAGTTCCTATGTTTTTCTGCTAGATGGCGTCATTTAGATACATTTTCCGATACAAAATTTATTTAAAGTTCTAGTTAACTAACTATTGTTTATAGGTTTAATTTGTTGCTTTCTATATGGTCACAACCTACTTTAGTATTAGCCATGTTGAGGCAACAATGGCAACAATTTTTTATCAAAGAATCGCAAAGTGGCTTTAACACAGTAAATGCTTTCTGTATTTCATAGCAATTCGATAACGTTCCATTTTTATGTAATAGAGAAAATATACGAAACAATTAAAGTTCTTAGACGACTTCAACAATGTGCATTGCTGTGCATTTTATAATCTAATATCTGAAAACATTGAACATATGAGCTTCAAGTTCATTTTACGGAACCTTGGTTACAGGAAGCATTACAGAGTCTGAGAATCTGAGATTTGGTGTGATAGGTATATAACAATTTGTATTATTTACAAAATAAATATCTCAGTTCTTGGCATATGTTTATTTGTTATTTTTACTGTTCATTTTCTGCGACTGGGTTTATCGACTGCATGTAAAAATAAATATTTAAGAACCCTAACTCTGATAAATATATTTTACCAATGCTTTAATTTAATACATGAAAGAATAAGTGATTGGAAACATCTATCGAAGTTAGTAAGGTTACTAAACGTAAACAAATTTCTCCCTTGCTGTTATATTAACGAAAGAAAAAAATCTCGAGAATTTCGTACAATGGTATCTAATAATATATACATATCATACATATCGATATTTTTCACAATTTCCGTTCAAAAAGACCGCGCATGCTATTGAAAAGTGACAACCAATCACGTTGAACGTTTCTTTGGAACTTTTAAATGCTGAAATTTCATTGGCCGAGCGCCGGCAACTCACTGCGCAGAAGAACGACGCCGAGAACGAGGCGTTCTTCGTTTGGCGGCAATTGGAGAGATTAGATGTGTGATGTCGATCGGTGATCCGCAAATTAATAGGTACGCATAATTCAATTCAATTAACATGTAATCTTGCTATTTGTACCTTGCGTTATTTCTTCACAACCCTTTAATATACCATTTATACCATTGCTTGTTAATTGAATCAGTTTTTTGAGAAAATTAGTTCGATTTCGTACTTTCGTCATTTTCGTTCTCCATGAGGTACCAATTGATATATGTTCGAATATCAATTCGTACTATGGGAGTACATGTTCCAAAGTAGTATTATCGGTTCTTTTTTCGTTTTTCTAATCAATTTGTTGCCTAGATATAGTAAAAATATATATTTATCGTAACTTGGCTTCTAATTCGAATTCTTGAATGTTCCAAGATCTGACGCCACGAGTCTGCGTAACGTTCACCAACGGCCATTTTCCGTTCAAATGGCGGTTATTGTACGTGTAAAATTTCCATCGAAATTTCTGGACACCATAACGCCAGAAAAATTGTGCAGTTTACCGGGGAAAGCAGAACAATAGGTAATGTTGTCTTTAATTAATGTCATTAGTAGATTAAATTGATTATCTTTCCTTTTATTTTATTACTATTTCTGCTTAATAATTACGAAATGATTTTTACTCCATTTCTTTACGGTTACCAATTTATTAGTTGTTTCATAAAGACTATTAATTACAATTTTAATATTGCTATCGAAATTGTAATTATGATTAATTAAAATTAACAATTATATTTCATAATCGTTAATTTACTTAACAGTTACATGTATAATTTTTGATCGATAATTCGGTTACATTATCCCCTACATCTTTTACATATAATTGCTATTACCTGATAACAATGATGAATTTACAGTTTTTTTTTCATTTTTTGAAAAATAATAATTTTAAACAATTTGATATTATGTATATAAAATAAAATTGTACAAATTTGCAGAATTATACAATTTATATCTCCTTAACAAAAACATCTAAATATTGAAAAAATGTTTAAGATTTTATCTTTTATGTTTCTAACATATTTATAATGACTTATAAATATGTGTATCATAAAACATAAAAGGTATAATTTTAAACATTCTTTCAATAATTAGATTCTTTTGTTAGACACAAATTGTATAATTTTGCAAAGTTACAATTTTTTCTTACATTCATTATAAATTAATAAATTTTATGAGTCTAAGCACTTTTACTATGGTATGCTAACTTTTACTAGAAATTGTGAACTTGTACGATGATATACATTTTCATAATTTCTTACAAACGAAACAGAGGAAAGATACCTAGGTATCTAAATGCTGAAAAAATGTTTGTTTTCATTATCTCTGTTTCATTAAATTAGTAAGCAATTATGAAAATGTATATCATCGTAGAAGTTTACAGTTTCTAGAAAATATAGCGTATCATAGTAAAAGTGCTTCGACTCAAAAAATTTGTCAATTTGTAATGAATGTAAAAAAAATTGTAGAAATCTGCAAACTCATACAATTTTTATATGTATAACAAAGCTTAGATACCTTTATTATACATATACAAATTGTATGATTTTGCATATTTATACAATTTTTCTTACATTTGCTATAAATTGACAAATTTTATGAGTCGAAACACTTTTACTATGGTACGCTATATTTTCTAGAAACTGTGAACATTTATGACACATACACATTTTTAAAATTCATAACAAATATGTTAGAAACATATCAGATAAAAACTTAAATATTCTTTCAACATTTGCATACCTTTGTTGTACACATACAAAACAAAAGAATTTGCAAATTTAGACAGTTTCTTCTTACATTCATTATAAACTAATAAATTCTGTGAGTTTATGCACATTTACTTCATTACACTACACTTTTTAGAAACTTGAAATATTTATGAAGCTACACATTTTTATAATGTACTTTAAATATGTTAGAAACATAACAGATCAAAGTTAAACATTTTTTTAACATTCGCGTATCTTTTTTGTACAAACATAAAATGTATGATTTTGCAATTTTAATGTTCTAATATTGTAACTACTGTAATTTTTGAAACATGTTATTAATTCATGTAACTTTTGTTGCAGATGTTTACATCATCAAACAAAAGAACATCGAAGTTCGACGAAGATAAAGCAGAGCTACTGCGATTTCGACGTGGATAATGCAGAGCTGCCCCGATGATCAGCGACAGCAGAGCCACTACGTAGCCCTGTATCAAGACAACGGTTGGTGAGTCGCATGCTTTTCGGTTCCTCTGGTCTCCGATCATGTCGTAGGACGAAAGGTCCAAATCGACACTGGTGACTGGTTGTATACGTGGTATTTGGCAAATACAGTGACCGCGAGTATGCATTGCATAGCATACTCGTGAATAGTAACATTTCTTGTTTTATTTATTTGTTTAGGCTAGGGCCTTCTTGTATTTCGGGTTTTATTAGTTTTTATTTTACAATATCATTGAAGTCAATACATACAAATGATAATATTAAATTAAAATTTAATATATACTATATTATTAAGTATATATATGATTAAATGATATTATCTTCTCCTATTTTTTTGAAAATGTATATTTAAAGTATATGCACATTCTTTCCGTTCAAGTTTTCCGTGTATGTACAAGAAGGACGTTTCGCGATAAGTCGATTCCTGCGTTAAAGTAACATGATTTGCATCCTTTTATAATTAGAAAGTATACTTTAACAAGGGAATCACTTTAGTAGGTCAATGTGAATATTACATTTTCAATACAAAGTATACTATTGCAAGAACTTACATATCACATTTTTTCATAAATAATTCAATATTGATTAAAATCATTTGATTGATAATTAAATTTTTCAATATTAATAAATATTACAAATTAAAATTCGAGTCATTTTTACTGAAAATAAAATAACGCAAAAGAATACGATACTAGACCGCTTAGATTTACTAATTATTCTTTTTATTGAGGATTTTCAGGTTTAACCCTTCCGTGTTCGTTGTCTGAACTCATTCACGTGCCCAGGTGCTACTTGGATGAGCGAAGGCAATGGGCACGATGACTTAGTCTGTAATATTAATCCATTTTTATACGAGCGACTGACTTTGTGCTAACGTATCGTGCACCGACGTACTTTTCACATGTGTGTGTGTGGTTAGGATGTGAAATTGCGTCGGTTTAAATATTCGTTATAATCCATAAATGAAATGGTTGTTCGTACCTAAATACTTCTATTACTATTCATTGTAGCTTCGATATTAAACATTATCATAAATCAATGATAAATTCATGAAAGTGGAACATTTGGGATAATTAATTGAAAATGAACTGTATGATTGTTTCACACATTCATTTTAATCGATAAATGAAATGGTATTTCGTACCATTATATTTTTATTACTATGCATTCTAGCTTCAATATTAATCTTTATCCTAAATCATTGATAAATTAATAAAAGGATGAAACTACTGTATGATTGTTATCTAACGCATACAATTATCAACGATCATATTACATCCAAGCTTTGCAAATAAATATTGATATATACATGTTACATTTACGCAATGGTCGCTAGCCTTTGTCAGTCGATTTCAGGAACTGGTACGTACCTTTAGAGTGTGAATGTTGTGTATGGTATCCTCGGGTGTCGGAGGTGTCCCGGGACATCTCCCTAGTTTAGGTCGCGCCCGAGAGCCTTGATTGAGGATCGTTGAGCGTGTGTGTTGGTGTGATTGTTTTGGCATTTTTAAATATAGGGTTAGGTAGGTAGGTAACTTAACTTGTGGTGTGTATGTTAAATCCCAGTAGGTAGGGTCCAGGGCAGATCTCGTCACTTTAGTCGGGTAGGTCGCGCGCGTACGTGATGGGTCTGCACCTGTAGGTGGATTTGAGGAGTCGTTGCGATCACGATGCAAACGGAACTTGTGTCCGTTTGCTTCGGAATCTGCTCTCGATTCTTCAGGTCTCGACTCTCTGAGTCGTTGCTTCGCGGTCGCGGTCGTGATCAGTAGGGTTGTTCGAAACGCTCGTTCCCTCGAGGTTCTAGACGTGTGGTTCACCGGGTTGAACGTCCACGTATTGCACTGAACCTCGACCCTAGCTATAAGTTTCAGATGGGACAATGCGTCCGAAGAAAGAAGAGAGGCCCTGACAAATTGTCACAAGAAAGGGCTGCTACGAATGGCTCTCCATCTTCGGATTCGAAGATGAGGAGTCATTACTATTACTATTTTGTCACTGTACTCGCCTGTAGTAGTAGTTTGTTTCTATGGGTCATGTACCCCAACGTGGGATATCATTGTGTGTCAATTGGGCAATTCGCGTTTTGTTTTAGTGTTGCGATATGAAAATATAAATCGCGTTCGTTTGTGAGGATTGTTTTCATTAGAATTTTTCGCGCTTTATTTCAGGGTAGTGTTGCGCATAAATATTGATCGCGATTGCTGTTAGTGTTGCGACTGATAAATCGCGTCCGATTTGAAATAATTTACATATTTTCAAGTAGTATTTTTCGCGTCTTCTTTCAGGGTAGTGTTGCGAATAATAATGAATCGCGTTTGCTATTAGTGTCGCGTCTGATACATCTCGTCCGTTTTGAAGTAACTTTGTATTTATAGTTAGGCCAAGAACAAAAAAAAAGAAGACCTCCAATGGATTTTTGTTTATATTTTTGAAGAATAGAGAATAATATACGTTTCTTCTGTTGCAGGTGACTGAACCAAATTCCGAATGGACTATTTGACAATAAAAACACTGTTATAAAGTATACATTGTATGTTTCAGAAATCATCGTTGGGTTAAGTCTTGGTGTCAATTTTTTTTTAATACATCCCCGGCCATGGCAGGGGGGAGGCACACAACACACACATACACACTCACACAACATTTAGATTAAGGATAAAGGTGGCTAGGATGTGGTTTTTGTCTTGGCCACCCAATTTTTTTGGGTCTCTATATGCAGTAACCTCCACGTGGTGAGACCTGGGCCCTCTATATTATTTGAAGTATGTAATTGCTAACTGCACATCGCCATTAAGGGTTAGATGACATTATTAATTCCATACCAAGTAATATGAGCTAATGGCTGCAACCTTTCTCATTTACAAGTAAATGAAAATATGGTAACTTGGAATTAGAATCAACGCGTATTGATACTATTATTATTATAAAAGTATAGTATATATGACATAACGAATAATTTGTTATATAAATATCTTATTCGTTTCTACATATTTCATATAAATTGGGTATAAGCTATATAAATTGGGGAATGTGCACGCGCAGTTCGAAGGATTTTCGTCGTTTCAAAAAATATAATTTTTGAAATGATGGAAATCTTTCAAAGTGCGTCTGCACTTTCTCTGGTTTACTTTCTTTTGAATAATTTAAAGCAATTATCCATGTATGCGCATGCGCTTCACATTTTAGTTGGGTGAGTTTTTCCCACGCGACGTTACAAATTCTGTACTTAAATAAACGTTGCGATACACGACTATGTCGATAGGAAATCGACGTCTTCTGCCCCCTCAAGGTCTCCTAATCTCATTTTTGGCATCAGGATCGTGTCTACACAGTAACACATTTTTGTAGGCGCTTCTGTATTCGGAACTCATCACTACGTAGACCACAGGATTGATGCAGGTGGTCAAATAGATCAATATATAACCAGCGATATTAAGTCCTCTCCAATCGATGGCATTCTTAAAGGTCTTCGTGACAGTGATCGGCAAGTAGCAAACGAGAAACGATGAAAATATCACCAGAATCATCTTCAGCAGCTTCTTGTCCTTGCTGCTCATTCTGGGAAGAGCTAAAGAGTTCCTCGATCTTCCTACGCTTTTTAATCCTGACTCGCTTCGATCAATGGCGTTTCTTGTCGTCGATCGTTCGTGGGAACTCGACGTTACACTCTCCAAACGATCGTTGACCGTCGACGTTTTCGAGTTCAGTCTTTGCACCCACAGAGCAGACTCGATGATGAACGATGCTCTACTCGCCATTCTCTCAAGTTTATTTCTAGAATTCGCGGTAGCTTTTACAGGCAATTTTTTGATCGCGCTACGATCATTGTTTGCGAATATATCATTCGCTGCATCTAAATCATCGCGCTCGTCCACATAGGGAATATCGTCTAATTTTATTCCAAAATCTGGGCACACTTTCTCGTAGACCTCGACGATCTCCATAGGTGGGAACTCGTCGTGTTTGTTCGACATTTTCTTTGTATTTTTCTTTCTTAATATCTCTGACTCTGCGCTCCCGATTACTGCTTCTTCTTCGCTTTCTTCTTCATCCTCTTTTTCATCTTGCTGCCAGGAGGGTTGAAGTTCCGAAAGAGTCTCCTCGATCGCCGATCTCGACGGAGTCCTCGAGCTTTTCGGTCGATTCGGAGGAGTGATGGAACGTTTCGATGAGAAATTTGCGCAGAGGACACTTGCTGTGCAACTAGATTCTAACGCTGACAGCTCTTCTTCTTGATTCCTGGAGTATGCCTGGAAATGATAAGAACAAACGTTTTGGGGGTCTTACGCTCGATGGAGAATTATTGTTACGTAAATTAATCGATAATTAAGAATTTCAATTACGAGAAATAATTGTTTATAATTGAGCTACCTTAACGTTGTCCGTACGCGTGGCTATGTTCCTTCTTCTGGTCTTGCACGCTGTTCTTCGTACGATATAAAAAATTCTCGCGTAGCAAACGACAATCGCCACGCAGGGTGTTAGGAAAGCAACGACGAAAAGGAATTCCTTGGGACTTCGTCCATGGACATCCGGGAGAATCGAACAGGAACCAATCGCTGTGTCTAGACCGAAGCGTCCCCAACTCTCGAACCATGTTACGACCAACACTCCAAAAGCGATGATCCAGATACTTAGTACAACGGGTAATAAGTATTTCGGTTTATATAATCTGTAAACGGGCGATAATTTTCAGGCTACTAATATCAACGTTATTATTATAAATTAGATACATTTAATATACATATAAATTTTGAAGATGACATAATACAAATAGAAACGTCGATAATACTTGCAACAAAGTTCGAATTAGTTGATCTTGATTTATTACTACTGGAGAAAGCTTCTTCTGATGCGTTCAGTTGCTATTGTGCAATATTTAATTTGCAGTCGTTATTCGTGTACTGTAATCACAGTGGTTCGTTGTCCCTTGGACTTAAATCATCAGGAAACTTACAAATGGCATGTTGAAATGTTTACTCACGTGGGGTACAACCGTGGATGACCTATCATAACGTAACGATTGATCGTGATCGCCAGTATCGTGAAGAGGCTCACTGCGACCAGGCCGTATCTCATCAAGGGAAACAGACGACACAAAAGTGCCCCGTGACGCCAGGAACTGTGCCAGAAGGTCGACGTAGCCAGAGGAAGATTGAAGCAGCAGAACATCAAGTCCGAAACCGACAGATTCAATATGAAGATCGTCGTGGCATTTCTCAGCTGAAAAATATCGACAAATATTAATGCTCCTGTGATCCAGAAATTACAAAACCAAGTACAGTAGGTGTAGAAAGTATTCGTACACCGATCAATTTCCAAAAAGAACTGTGTAAAATTGTAATTTATCAACTGATTTTTTATAAACAATGACATTCTACATGTTCTAGGAAATCTCTAAAATAGATAGATTACAAACAAAAATAGCTATTTATGTAAGTTGCGAAATTAACAAGAACAAAAAACAATTAATCGATAGAAATATTGAAGCAATAAGTATTCGCACAACTGTTTAAAAGTACTTTCCTGGAAATTCGATGTTTTCTAATTCGCACGGAGCAATAAACTAATGTGTTTACGTTAAAAACTCCACTGTAAATGGTTCGTCATAAGAATCGTACAAATACTTATTGCTTCTATACTTTTACCCACTTTTCGCATTTTTTTTGTTAATTTCACAAATCATATTAACTAGTAAATGTTGTTTGGACTACATATATCTTCAGAGACTTCCGAGAATATGTAAAATATCATTGATTATAAAAAAGGAAGTTAAGAAACTACAATTTCACAGAAAAGTTTTTTGGGAAATTGATCGGTGTACGAATACATTCTACGCCCAATGTATATTTAATTTTTCTGGTCAGTATGAATCACCAGTTGTAGGAACAGAGGATGAAATTTACATAGGAGGTCTACTTCAGGATCTAGGGAGTTCTGTACGTACAAGTATTTTAGATTAATCAGGGGATACAAGATGGAACAAGAAACTGTTATTTATTTTATTATGATTTGGATACTCGAGTTGCGAAAAGAGAAAAGTTCTACTCGTAGACCAAGTCGAAACCGGCAGGCGTCGTTGCCTAAACCTAATCTCTCAGGGCGTGAAACGTGAATCGGAAATCTGGTTTCATAACAAACAGTGCCGTAGACCTTCCGATCATTGGCTTGTTTCGTTATTACGTTGTTGCTATTCATAGAATAGTAGAGTCATTATCACGCTTAACAGTGAATGAAAACAAAAATGAATACTTTTAGTCGAAATGATCGTTGAGAATATTCGAGTTTCAACGAATTAAATATCATTTAATAAACGAATTAGTTTTAATTAAGCTAGCTGTTGGCTACCTGGCTGTTGACTGTTTTCGTTAGAAATAATCAGATTCGTACTGGATTAGGGTTCATTTGATCAATGTTTGTACAGAACAAAAAAAGTCCTACATTCAATTTCCAATCAATTTTGTTGTAAAAGTCGATGTAACCATCTGTATTATTGGGAGTTACAAATTGGATTTGTGTTAAAGGAAACACGATTTATTAAGACAGAATCATTACTGTATTATTATGATATTTAGTAGACAGTAGACAGAATTTGCATTCAACAAAAAATAATTGATTAAAATGGGACCATTACTGTGCTATCATGATATTTAGTAGTATCGAAATATTGTACCATTTAGAATGATTATTTATCAGATGTAGATGAATTTTAGAAGTTGGATTTGTGACTTCCATGGTAGAATAGAATCAGCAGAGGAATTTTACGACCATTTCAAGGCTTGCCACCGACTTAAAATAAATTGAGTATGCATCGCGCGTTGTAAAATCGTCTCCTACATAAATCCAGGGAACTCGAAGAAAGGAAAATGTTTATATGCGAGGCGAGGAGTTATCGTGCCGTCGTGATGTCTTATCGAAGGATCGTGGTTGCTCGGTAAATAAACTATTTTAGCAGATAAACATTCATGGATTACCTAAATCGCACGCAAACTTTGATAATTGCTCGCAAGTCAACGAACCATAGTATCATTACAAATCACGGATATTGAAAATTATATTCTTATTGCACTAGTAAAGATAGTTTTAACTTCGTTCTCATTTTTATTAATTTAACGATTGCATCGAATTTTAATTAAAACGAAGTGACGAGAGTAGAGCGAGGCTTTGTTATGTGTTGCTATTGTCTTCTAAAACGAGATTCGAGGTAAACCACATTAGCAGCGACAAAGTACACTAGAAATTCGAGCAACCGCGACGCGTAATCTAACTCGTTCCGGGTAAGGAATTCGTCACTTAGGATTCCTCGCTTTATCACTCCTGTACACGCCTATCTTTACGTTTATCGAGTGCAATGAATTTTAGAACTTACAACTACACAACAAAAACGTCTCAAAATACACGAAATAAATACGAAGAACAACACCATGACGTAACTAAGAATGTATCTTTCTTCTTCTTTTTTTTGTTCAATTCATTATACGCGAATAACAATGAAGAAAACAGAATCTAATTAATTTGCACGACACGACGAGGTTCGAAATGGTCAATGCGTAAAGTCACTTTTCAATTGTCGCACTCATGAAACGTATCTTTTCTTCTTCTTCTTTTTATTGTGATGTCTTCGAAAGATTTCTGAAGGCCTCCGCAAATAAGGTAAACGAAGCACGCCTCCAGTGTTTTATGATAGCGTCAAGATATAACGGGAAAGAAGATTGAATTTGTGCAGAAGAAAAAGAAAAAGACAATTGAGTCTATTGTTAATGGAACGCTGACCTTTTTGGTGCGATAAAGGGCAATAATGGTGAAAAGGTTCCCAGGGATGCCAACGAGCATGAAGAAGACGCAGCAACTGGCGGCGAGGTGCAGCAACCATCGTGGATAGCCGACGAAGAGGATCGCCGATCCAGGATCCTGAAGGACCTCCTCGAGTACCTCTGCTCTCCCATTTTGACCAGTCTCGTTGCTTGCCATCCAGTACTCCATCTGCGGACAGCATAGTGTGCAGGTGTCGTTTCGCACAGTGCCGTAAAGACTCGGAGACCCATTCACGATAGAGACGATATATATACTCTGGAACGTTGAACTTTCGCAAACAGCTCGCTAGAATATTATTTTCAATACGGATAAATGATGATAATTCTCTAGACTGCAGTCATTCGCCTTCTGCGCAGGAGCAGTACTGCTTGCAAATTTCATTTATTTTTCTTGATTGCAAAATATTTTTTTTTCATGCAAATATTAAGGTTG